TTATAAATAAGTAAAAAATTTTTAAAAAATTACTTTAACGATGTTATTTTTGATATTTTAATACATCTGTATACATCTTATAAATTTATAAATTTTCAACCCTAAATTCGTTAACAAGAAAACGCAGTCCTAGAAAAATCTGTTATGATGGTTCAAAAATTTTCATATTAAAAAAACCAAGATGAAAGTTTAAGCTATATTATTTTTCTCAAGATTTTTGTTCTATCTAAAAAAAATATACAGATTGTTAATGTTCAAAAATTTTTGAAAAACTAAATTTAAAAAATTGCATTTTATTCTCATAAGTATGAGTTAGCAAAAACTTTTCGCAAATTTGAGATAGCTCTATTTTTCCAACAAACAAGTATAAGATAGTTTTCTTTTTTCTAGAGGTGTAAAAAATACTGGTATATTATGGTTGATAATATTTATCAACTGAAAAAGGGGTTTGTGTGTGTTATTTTTTGTAAGTGGTATAGGAATTTTTTAAATTAATTGAAAACTTTATAAATTTGTATTTATTACACAATTGTTTCTTTGATATCCACTAACAACAATGTCATAGCTATCTACTTTCATGGTTCCCTTAAGTTTTCATTTTAACTGTAATCCACACAATGGCTGTCTCAAAAATAAAGCCTCATGTTAGCGCAAAAAAAAAAAAAACATTTGGGTTGCTATCACTTGTGATTGTAATAAATTAATAAATAATAAACTTATAGTAAGTTAATAAAATCCTGGTAGAAACATTACTACATAAACTGGCTAGAAACTCGTCAACATGTTATAAGCCCATTTACGCATGTACGTTGACGAGTTTCTAGCCAGTTTATATCGTAATTTTCTACCAGGGAATCTGCTAAAAAAATTGTTAGTTTTTTTACGACAAATTGTAAATTTTCATTTCTAAGAATGTTTTCCACGAATATTTATGAGTTAATAAAATCTGTAATAACCTTATAATGCTTTTTTTACTTTTATACGTATGAATCTTTTTATTTTTCTAGAACAGTATTACTACAAAAACAGCCATAAGCTTTCGAAACAATCTTGAAAACATTAGGATTATCTTATACTTTACCCTTCCGTCAAAGACCTCAACAAACAAAAGTATGACATTGAAGCTCTAACAACCTTAAAAACGTATACACCAAGTTTATAATAGAAAACATAGTTAATATTAAATCACTAATATTCAGTAACATATCACCTTTGTAAACATGTCCAACTGTATAAACATGCAACCCTTGGCAACTAGAATCAATGGTTTTTGCACCAATACGATTGTTATATCATTTTTAAAATGCTTGGAGCAGTTTTCTGGCCAGTGTGAACCGTACATCGAATCCAAAGATCTTGCACTCTAATTATTTTAACTATTATTAGACAAAAATAGTCGTTTTTATGATTGGTAACTGACTACTGACCTCCCGTTCTATTCGATTACCATGCCAGCCATAAGCGAAAATTTGTGCAGCTTTTGGAAATAGAGAAAGACACAAACGGCCAATGCGTTGAATACTCAATTTATTTTTAGCTATCTTTAACAAAAGAAAAGTTTTAAATATTTTTCTATAAAAAATAAACACTTGTTGTTTCAATACATCAATGTAAAATGCATAAATCATACTTCCGATACTTGAAATGTCAAAGCGCATAAAGTCACGGCACTCGAAATAGCCATCCAAATAGCAATAATCCCAAAAGTATTTTCGATTCTCTTCTTTGAGTGTATAAGCAAATTATGTCTGTCAATGCAATCCTTTATTTGTGCCTGGTAGTTTTCTTCAAGATTTAATTCCTTAAATTTTTTGGCAAGTAATTTTAGTTCACCACACATCTGAATCGTATAAAGTACGTAAGCCAAATCTACAGCACTTGAAATAAACCAAATTGTGGACAACCCATAAAACTCAGTAAAATAAAATAACCAATGCATTAATCCTCCAGATTTGTAATCAAAAGGTATTATTGATGGCACTGCACGCGTGAACTTGCCATATTTTAGATAGTCAATCAACGGTCCAAAGGCATAGAGAAACATTGTTATAGCAACAAAAGCGGAAAAACTGTACATGTAATAAGCATATAGACCAATTCGTTTCAACATGTATGGCCGATTTTCAGGTATTTCGAGATCAGCTAGGTATTGTGTGGTGAGATTATTGTTAAGATAATCCATGTCTTCACGATGTGCTAAAAACATCACAGTCTCCAAACAAACACAAACATTATCACAAATAACGTGAGAAATACAAAAAATTGCACTAAAAATAGCAAGTGCTTACTTACTTTTATTAAAACTGTACTAAATGCAATTGTCATACCCATGCTTCTTACTAATGATAATATGCTTGTGATGTGTTTAAAAGTAAAAGTGGATACAGCCACTAGCATGATAGACGTTGTAGCTAGAGTCAAGATAACTAGGAACATTTTGATGCATGGCTGTAAATTTGGAGCAACACCGGATACAGTTAAAAAAAATTTATTATAACGAGCATAGTTGTTATACGTTTGCAGTTCAGAATTCATTTTCAAATAATGCGCTATGTGTAATGGCTACTCTACTCATCGCTCCAGTATTGATCTACGGTACTTTAATCGATGTGTTATTATTGAAAGTTTCTTGATTATAGAAGTAACATACAATTTGAAGTTTTAAGTATGGTTTATTAGTTAATGAGTTTTGTTTCGAAGTAATTCAAAAGTAGTTCGTAGCATTAGAATAAAAAGGTTGGACTAATTGCGATAAAAGACCGGAAAACTGCAGATTCGTGTTAGTACAAAACTATTAATAAATTGGTGCTCTTTGACACAAATAACAACGTATTTTTCTTTTTATTTTGTATTTAATACAGATTAAACAACTCTTAGATATAAACACCTATTTAAAATTAATTTAACGAATATTACGTTTGTTGCGTTTAGCAAACTTTTCTGTTATCAACAATCATTATTTTTAAGTAATGTACGATATATGGTGTATTTTAAGCAACGTGCATGCCTGATATGAGCATAAGATAGGCTTTGTTGCTATGTACCAACTATTATCTAATCGATAAACCGATGCATATAGAGCATACCAAAATATTTATCGCAATGTAATTTGCAGCTGCATTTCAGATTCAATTTTTTTTATCTGGTCTGCTATTATGCCTATTAATAAAGTTTATAGAAAAACTTTCTCTACAATCTAGAATCTATTCACTAGTATAGCTGCAACGTATATTAGAAAACAACTTTTAAACATAATTCTGGTACGTACACTTTTGTTGCGTTTGTCTTATGTTTTGATATTAAAGCAGTTGAGATTACTTTGGGAGAACCAGCTAAAACTTAAGGCTAATAATAACATTTGTTGTTATTGATTTATTTGTAAAAAATCACATTTTGTTACGGAGAATTGATTAACAATATTAATTATACATGCACATCCGACAAGTGTCGAGATTTATGAAAAGATCTTTTAATAACTTGTAATACAATCTTGACAATCTTTATTAATCCACTCAAACCTCATATATTTGATAATGAAGCGACTTTAACAGGAAAAAAATTTATTGACAATGTTTCGGTTTGTGATAGGCTCATGACTATATTATCGATTGAACGTTACTCAAATGCATACCTGTACTAAAAAAAGTTCATCACAGTTTGTAAAATAAAATTAAATAAAAGACAGTAATTATTAGAGTTGTATTTATTAAAACTACGCAGTGTATTTACGATTAACTCTTCGGTATATGTACTATTACTGTTCAAGATATTTTTAAAAATGGAGGGGATGACCCTAACTTGGCCAGACTACATTGTAATTCTTGGCACGATGTGCGTTAGTACTGGAATCGGTATTTACTACAAATTTACTGGGAATCGTCAGAGAACCACTGCTGTAAATATACAATGTATACTAATCATAGTGAAGAAAAGAAAAAAAACAATGTTAAATAAAAACAAATTTTTTTTAGGAGTACTTTACTGCTAACAAATCGATGGGAACGTTGCCTGTTGGTATTGCTCTTATGGTCACGTTTATTTCAGCTGTAGCACTTCTTGGAATTTCTTCAGATAGTTATACCCATGGTACAATGTACGTTGTCTTTTACATACCATTTCTCTTAGTAGTACCCATTGTTTGTTATGGCTACTATCCCATTTTTTACAAACTACAACTAACAAGTGTTTTTGAGGTATGCATATGTAAATACGTAGATTGTTTATGTACAAAAAAACTTTAACGAATTGATTAATGAAATTGAAAACTAATAATTAACAGTACTTGAAGCTTCGCTTTGGAAATTTTGCTAGATCCACCACAAGTTGGGCCAATTGGGTTCAATTACTTTTGTACTCCGGGATATGCCTATATGCTCCAGCTCTTGCCTTAGAAGTGACAGCTGGTCTACCCCAACTATGGAGCATTATTGCACTGGGTGTTGTCTGTGCATTTTATTCAAGTATAGGTGGAATGAAGGCTGTTCTGGTTACTGATGTCTTTCAAGGTTTTCTCATGCTAGCAGCTGTCTTTATGGTTATTATCACGGCTGCTTGGAATGTTGGAGGATTGGGAGAAATTTGGCGGATCGCTAAAGAAGGTGGAAGACTTGAAATTAATAAGTGAGTGAATATTTGGAGAGTTAATTCGCCAAAAAAGGAGACTTGCATTTTAACTAATCTGTGATATTACCATATTCAGTCTTACTTTAGACTATAATATTTCTTATTAACACTTTTTCTTACTACGCATTATTAGTTTAAGGCGTCGTCTGCATTCATACACTTTTTATGATTTTTAATGTTGTTGAATCCTAAGTAACTTCTCCATTACTTGAAAAGTTTGTAGTAAATTCTTTAATAATAATTGACAGCTGTAATTACGTATTAGGTAACATATAAAACCATCAAAACTATAACAAACGTTATAAAATCTTTCTGGACTATTAAAATTTTATCTTACGTATTTCAAAAAATTAATTAAAATAAAAGTATCAAATAGATGATTTTATTACAATGGAACTCAATTAGTGCTCGTGCTATACATGCCTTTAATAAACTAACCATTATTATTTGTACTTACAAGCTTTTCTCTCAATCCCACGGAACGTCATAGTTGGTGGAGCTTAACATTTGGTGGGATGACTGTGCTCCTGTCTATGAACGGCGTGAGTCAAGTTCAAGTCCAACGATTGATGACAGTAAAGTACATATTTATGCCTCGTATTTCTCAAAATGCTTTGATATATTATGTATGTATGAGACCCAAATACAGTTTAGAATCGATAAATAATTTAATTAAGTATTAATGGATTGAATTGCTCTTATCAATGTGATAGCTGATGTTTACTATTTACATTCTAACTTTCTAACTTGACATTACCATTACCAGAAACTTACATTCGGCAAGAAAAGCAATGGTGATAAATATGATAATTCACAACTTATTTGGGATTGCTACATGCTTTGCCGGTTTGGCTATATACTCGAGGTATCACGATTGTGATCCTAAAGCTAGTGGCAGAATAACATCCAATGACCAGTTAATGCCTTTTTACATAATGGATACACTGTCACAATTTCCTGGACTGCCAGGTTTATTTATATCAGGTAATGTTGAAAAAAATATAAAAATTTGTACATAAAACTTTTTTATACATTCTAATTTTAGGGATCTTCAGTGCTGCTTTAAGTACAATATCTGCTTCATTAAATTCATTGGCTGCGATTACATTGGAGGATCATGTAAAGCCAATTTATGAAAAATGCTGGAAACGGTCCATTTCTGAGCCTTTGATGATGAAAATTGGAAAAAGTTTGGCCTTTGCTTATGGTCTTGTTTGCATTGGTATAGCTTTATGTGGTCAGTTCCTCGGTAGTGTTCTACAAGTATGTTGTTTTTTTTACTAAATTGTTTGTGATTTTTTACTTCCTGATATAACATTAACTAGGTATATGTATATGGTTGAACATATGTGAGTATTTCTCAACACATATTTTAATACGTCTTTCTCACTCTTACGATAATCATATCATTTTATTATCACCGAGGTCATTTTTATTTCAATATTTAATATGCAGTATAAAATGTTACGAAATTGTTATGACTGAGATCTTCAAAAACCTAAACACGTGTTTATGAAAATTGATTCTATTAAATCTGAGTTTTAAAAATTTCAGTGTAAATGGTAAAAGGTACTTCTGATATATTAATTAACCAATTGGTATGATAGTTACTCAATCAGGATTTTTTACACTACTTTTGCTAGCAGTAAATATTTAGATACGGAAATACCCGAATATGTCGTGCTTAGGATATATAAAATATTAACTATGCACTGATAGTACCTTTAAAAACTGGAACTCCTTCGAAAAAATCTTAAAAAATTTGTTTTCCCATCTTTTTTTTTAATTTCAATTACTACTGCCGTAAATACACAACTCTACACAACGTTTTAAAATTAATATCTGTTAATCAAACTATGAAATAGCTCTGTGAGAAGTCACGGCCAGTAGTTTTTTAAAAATAGTGTTTTTATAACCCCAATCATAGCTAAATCTATCGATACTGTGCAAGAACGAAACGAAAGATGGAATAAGTAAAATTATAAAAGTCCACAATAAAACATGTTCAAACATATATAACACAGTTACAATTAGAAAGAAATTGGAACACGACCACAGCCATTAATGATGTGTCAATAACTTGAAAGCTTTCTTTTGAATCGAATAAAAAAGCTGCTGTAGATCAATTGAATAATAATATTTAAATAATTTACGCAAATTGAAATTGAAGTAGGAAAAATTAAAGAAAATTATTCTTAGATAGTCATAAACTTGTCACATACTATATTTATTTGACAAATTGCTCAATAGTTCCATCACCTTGACCTCCAATGACAATAAGACAGACTTCTATAAAAACTACCGAAGCTTGAAATACAACTACGTCTTCTTAATCTTTTTTTTTAACACTCAATTTCTCGAACAGGCATCATTGTCTATCAACGGCTGCATAGGCGGTACGGTGCTGGGAATTTTTACACTAGGGATGCTCGTTGAGTCGGCAAATGAACCAGGTGCCGTTTTTGGTCTTTTATCGACATTAGTTTTCGTGATGTGGATAAGTTTTGGAACACCTAGACCCACACCTGCAGAGTTGCCTGCATCAATCACAGGATGCGAGTTCAACATAACATCAACTCCTTTCAATGGAATCAGCAACTTTGACGGTATAACGAGAGAGTGAGTGCTACTAATAATTTTGTGTCTTACATATTACATATTCTGACTCATTTACACACTGTATATACCAATCAAAAGACCATGAATGACGACAATCGGTCGATCTCGAATAACCATTCAACCGATGCAATCAACATCATAACAATGAAAAAAAAACTGCTCAGAAAAATACACAATAAAACTACAGCTTGCAAACAAACAAAAACTTGAATACGACCACGCTGATTATTTACAAAGCGATCGACACGATAACGCGTTTGACCATACTCTACGTGTATGCATTAATTGAAGTCATCAAACTCGGGCATATTGAGACTCTTATCTTTCTTTTTACTCAATATTGCATTGCAGAGACGATGACAACAGCACCGAGGACTCGGCATACTTTTATCTCTACCGAATCTCGTACATGTGGTACAGCGTAATTGGCTTCGTTGGGACATTTGTGGTGGGCTTCGTAGCGAGTTGCATCTACCGATGTTTTGTTGCTGCCGATGACAACGAAAAGAAGCGATTAGATCCGGATCTGTTCTTTCCCGTGATAGCTAGCCGCATCCGCCATAGACATCAGATGCAACAATCATAAAATCAAACAAGCTCCAAGGGATCTATTATTATTGTTTATTTAAATAAAATATTTTGTTGTGTTTTACAAACTTGTGTCTAAATGTATGAATATGTTGTAATTTAGTTATGTGATTTTTTTACGTACTACCACCACAATAACGTTTGGTCATGGTATGATCAACTTTATATACTATTTGTGATAAAGTAGATTAAGTAGTCATTACAATTTTTGTGATTATTCTTGGGAAACTTATCTTAAATTTTCCCAAACTCCAGCACAGAAACGATTAAAGCCAAACCTCTTTAATTCCCTGATAAAAATAAAGAGTATGTGAATCAAATCTACAAACACGATTTACACCGGATCAGCTCATTATCAGTCTTATCAATCAATAATGAATTAACTGCAAAGAATCGTAAATAATTTTATCCCTCTGTTTCAATTGAAAAACGTTTACAGGCCATAATAATCCATCTGACAGTCAATCTCCCAAATCTGTCAAAATTTTGTGCAATAACCGCTACGTTAGCTTTTCTTAAGGCTTTAACGATGTAGGACGATATTATCAATGACCCGAACAAAATTATTTTCTTCGTCATATGAAGCACATGTAGTCAGAAGCGGAAATTATTGCCGTGTGACTCTGACGCTTACGTACATCAAAAGTGTCATCAGATTTTAAGTTCTTTACCGAATGCATCATGTACCGAGAAAAACCCCGGAAAAAACAAACAGCACTGATCGTGATGATGATAATGATGAATTAATAGACGTCGTAAGAAAAACAATGGCTCTCGCGGTCCTAAAGAGTATATCCGAGCAATTAGGACGAAAAAATCGCGAGTGCCTCGTTGAAGACAGACGCATAAACAGTGCAGACTACTTACATTCCCGTTGGAGTGTAAATGGGTGTCTACCATATCTGTACGTACATTCGAAACACATCTGTGTGTGTGAACACTTTTATACACATGCATACATAGTGTCCAGATCGAGGCGACGACTGCCAGTTTAAACCAGTTTTAATTTAAAGTTCATAGTCTGTCACGTTTTGTGCGCGCCAATATCAGCTTTCACGTCGTACGGAGTCTTCATCTTCGTCTTGGGCATGTAATACACTTATTGATACTGCTGATACTCTTCCCGAGATCGTCACGGTGATGCTTATCGCAACCTTTTTTTTTTGTTTGGAGCTGTGCGATGGGATTGCATCAATACTGCGAGCCTAAAAGTCATTGCGAAATCAATTCTCGCGTCCATACTACGTACATGCAGTCTCTGAAAAGAGACAATAGCATATAGATGCTCATACCGTCGTGTTTTGGCTATTACGAATCATAATCCCGATTCACTTTTGTGATCTGAGAATAACGTAGAATGAATGTGAGGCTCAACCTGAGATTAAGTGAAAAGAAAAATCAATAGTTTTACATTAAATGGTCTTATTGTCATTGCATTACTTGTCTTTCTAAACACTAGAAAAGGTTTTGGTTGGCAAAATGAACAAATTTTAAAAAATGGTATAAGGTTGTTCATTTACAAATATTATGCTGGATTGATCCCTTTAGAAAATGTAGTACAACGGCTCTCTTTTTTATAAATTGTCGTTTAATGTTTGTAAAATAAAAAGGATTATAAAGAATCAATGGTGATCAAGTTAACTATTTAATACTTGATCTCTGAGATACTACAACGCGTTTACTTACCAACCAGATTTTTCAGTTCTTCCTGATCACTTGCCAGTTTGTTGAATTAGTAATACAACATAAATAATTGAGCTGCTTCTATCACATGATGTGACCAGTTGCCCAAATCAACAACCCAAATTCCTACTCATGTTGGACTTTGAGACTGTTACTTTGTTTGGAAATAAGAGTCAGCAGAAAGTGACACGTACTTAACGTATTATGATATTTGAAAGGATAAAACATACAGATGTTACAGTGAGAAAAAATCTATTTTCTAAAACGATTAAGCTGAATCTAATCTTATTACGGTTATGAAGTAACGTCAAAGAACACATATTTCCGCTTACGTACATGCAGATGAGTATATTTTTTCAGTATGTCCTTGTTGATTACAATTCATTGCTGATGTTAAACATTTGTTTCAAAGAAAAATATTGTGCTTTATCATTCTTAATAGTAAAAGAGTCAGTATTAATCAGAACTTACTCGATTCAAGGAAAATAAGATGATTACACGACACAGTTTGTGTAATAGCTTAAACAGAAATGATAATAAAATAATAGAGCATGTTACTAGCTTGTATTAACTGAAAGAAAATATACGTCAAAAACAGGATTTTAAAGATGATAGAACTGCCATTCAAATAGAATCTTGCAAATGAGCAGAATAAGTAATGTTTGTTACTAGAGATATTTAGTGACATTTTTTTTAGAGAACCATATTTTTTGATTGCTACATAATTAAATTTTTTCTTGTCAATCTATTTCAAAGGTTCTTAAATACTAATTGACATTTGTCTAGTAAATTTTTTACTCTAAAACAAAAATCCTCATTTTTCTTAAGAAAGTATAAAACGATTACTAATTTTATACACATTTCTGCTCAAATAATTCATCCATAAATATACACTTTGGGTATAAAGTTTCATAAGAATTTATAAACCAATTATTTTTAATATTTATTTCTTAAAACATATGCCATCTGAACGGCATATGATTTTTATGTTCATATTATTCATCTGAGAGTAAGGTGAAGAATCTAATATATACCTGTGCAATAGATTTGTTCTATCAACTTCATCTTGAAACCTTTTTGACTTACTTTTAAAAATCTAGTTTTATTTTTAACGTGACAAAAGTTATTACAAAACCATTAGAATCAAAATATACTTTAAATGCTGTTGTATTGGCTATTGATATTTTTTCAATTATTTCTTAATTGTCAAATATGGCAGTATTATGTGTGTGTATGTATATATACAAATGTATGGTTGAAAGTTTTTGTTCTTTCTTTCTTAATTATGAATTTTAATTGCGCGGGGGCACACGCAGTAACTTTCGAGGCGCGNTTATATATATTTCTGTTGAATTAGAGATTAAGATGACGATTATTAAATATGTAAGTAGAAGTACACACTTGGTATCGTATACTATTTTAAAACCCTAAGATATCGTAAAGTTAAGTATAAAAATATAAACATTAAAATATGCAACTAGTAATTTACTTTTCAGGCTAAATATTGCAATCAATAACCCGGAAATTCTGTTTTACGAATAGGTATACTATAAAATAAAAGTATATGCAAACAATATGAAGACAAAGTAGACACGTTGTAGAAAGGTAGCATGCGTGTTCACATGGGTAATCCAGTTTCCCCTAATTTTGCGAACACCATGTTGAACGAAAGAATGGACTAACTATGCCATGTAGAAATATTTTGACTACAATCGTGTAACTACCCTGATGATAGCCTTTTAAGTCATATAAAGTATAATATAATTAAAAAAAAAACAAGATTAAAGTACTTGTACTGACAAAACACATAATATTTGTAGGACTTTAAGGGACTCAATGCATTAAAGTTCGTACAGAAGTGAATTTTACAACCTCTTTTAACAAATATATTCCTAGATTGAGATAAGCAGAATTAGTTTAGTTTACGTTGCAAAGTAAAATACAAACACAACTTTAGTATCGTCATTCACATTCGTGTCATACTTATGTCATGTTTCAGTACAGGTGAGATTATTCTGCTGCAACACTTCAAAATTAAGGTTATGTTACTCTAACTTTACTGTTCTGTTCATTACGATATTCCGGTTGTCGATGTCACAATCAATTAAAAATATACGTTTCAATTTGACTACATTGTTGTTAATATTTTTACGAAGTATAATTTTATTTAAAGTTGTGTGTATTCTAAATATTTCTGATGAAGTATAACATTTTTAAATAAAATACTTAAATTTTTTAATTCCATGTAGTGTGTTTGAAACATCATAATTTTACGGCTGCGTTAAAGAAGTATAAAAATAATTATAAGT